TCCAATTGCACCTCACAAGTCGATTTTGACTTTGGGGTCAAATTTTGACTCCAAAGTCAAAATCGACTTGTGGGGTGCAATTGGAGGGGGTGGGGGGTTCGCCGGGGGTAGGAACCGTCAATTTTACGAACAGGGCACCGGAGCGCCCCCGGGTCATCCCATGACATTGGTGCCCTATATATATATATATATATATATATATATATATATATATATATATATATATATAATGATACAAAAGATAAGTGATTGTTTTATTTAAATCATCAACTTATCATATAATGAGTAATGAATGATTGATAGGAGTGGCTTGCACATGGACACATTGCACGAGAGCATTGTTGCCAAGTTTAATTAATGACATTTATAATTATGAAATGCTCCCCGTGCATCGCACGAGTACGATGTATGTGTGTAGTGACATGTGTCTTGTGGTTTACATGTGGCATGACACATGTCATCACCACAACTATCTAACTCCCTTTTACCTATATACTAGTATTCTAACCCGTGCTATGCACGGGGTCGAACGCAATTTATGTCGATTCTGAATTATTTCAATGAAATTTATTTTTTGGTATGGTTAAAAATTTTTGTGCAAATTAAATTTTAATAATACATATGAAATAATCCAAAGTAAAATAAATAATATATGCAGAATAGAATGTAGAGTTAACAATGTTTATTTTAATACCAAATTTTCTAAAAGACTCCAGCGAATACAACATTTTTGTTATGCATGGTTGCAAGGGTTTCCATTGTCATCTAGAACCAATATCTTTAATCCTGTCTTTGTCTTCACTCGTGAAACAGCAACATATAGTTGACCATGTGTGAACACCGAGTTGGTTAAAAATAACCCCACAAATGACATTGTTTGACCTTGACTTTAGTTGATAGTCATAGCAAAAACATAAGGTGATGGGGAATTGTCTTATTTGGAACTTCAAGGGTAGGCCTGGATCAGATGGTATCAAATTCATTCTAGGGATGTAAACTTTTTCCTCGACTTGATTTCCCAAAACCACAATTGCACCGATAACATTATTTCGCATCTCTTGAACGATTAATCTTGTCTCATTACACAATCCAGATGTTTGGTCAATGTTCCTCAATAGCATAATCGGTACCCCTTTTTTCAAAACTATTTTGTGGTTTGGGATTCCTGAACATTTGATTTCATTCAAAAACTCAACTGTTATCCAATCGCCATCAACACCTACATCTGCATCTGCTTGGCACGAAGAATCAAAACTCAAGTATTTCTTTTCATCACCAGGAATGAGGGACATGACAAATTCATTTATCAATCATTTCAACTACTTCGAGAGTTGGTGCCAATAGTGCTCTATCCTCAAAAAAAGAATAATTTTTCTTATTCTCTAATATATTCGGATAAGTGAAATCCACTATATTCTTCATAGGAGAATTTGTATCAAGAATTAAGAATTCTATCTAAAGGAATCTCAACATCACCAACTCCGTCCATCTCCTTAATGTTTTTACATTAAAACATGTTTCAAACAAAACATTGGTTAAAGAAAGATCGATTCAATATATGGACAGAAACATTGGTTGAATAAAACATGAAATATATAAAACTTGGAACAAAGGCTAAACTTTTATAAACATTTAACATATGATATATATACTTAGGTGTTCGTCGAGGAACACCATCTCTATTGAGTTTGTTGCCTTGTTATCGTTGAACGCAAACAACGTATAGAACTGTATCACACGAACACAAATCCTCCAACACTCACTTGTCGGATTGATTTTTGATAAAGGGTGAATGGGCTTGAAATACATGATGATTCAGCAAACAAAAAACAATTCATTTGTAGTTTTCTTTCCAAGGCAAAAATTTTGAATCGAGAAGAACACAATTGAAATGAATGTATTCCAACGTGATATATAAGAAATAAGAAAAGTCCTAATTTTGGAAGCTAAATCAAAATCGTGCATAGGTTGTGAATCGGACTTACCTAATTTTGAAGGCACAATCGTCCCTCTTTCTCTGCCAAAGATTTAGCAATCATAAGTGTTTCTCCAATTTCTTCATTTTTTGAAGGCAAAGAGTTTTGAATCCCAGTGTTTCTCCGATTTCTTCCATTTCTACAGCGACCATAGAAGGAAAGGAGCTTTGAATTCGAAAATCTCCAGGATTATCTCGTAGATCTTCATCCAATTTCTTCCGGGTTCTCCAGCGACAATAGAAGGAAAGGAGCCTTGAATTCCGAGAAAATCTCCTAGGATTATCTCGGAAGATCTTCATCCAATTTCTTCCGTTTCTCCAGCGACCATAGAAGAAAAGGTTTGATTTCGAAAATCTCAAAGCTCGGCAGATCTTCATCGTGACTGTCGCGAAGATAGTACTCCTCAGATCCGCTATTTTCTTTTATTTTTTCTATTATTACGTGGCTTAGCTTGCTGATGTGTTCCATTTTTTGCCAAATAGGCATGCCAAATGTCCCATTCTCATGCATCCGAGTCTCCTTTATTATATTAAGGGATATATATATATATATATATATATATATATATATGTATGTATGTATGTATGTATGTATGTATGTATGTATGTATGTACTAGCAATGGCACGCGCGTTGCACGAGATGTGGTGCCCGAAATTAGCTTTGTCGTTGGGCGTGTTACTATTGTATTTTTGGCATTGTCTTTTCCACTTTTTAATCATATGTCAAGCATATTTATTGTTCTATTAAGTTTTGTTTTCGCAATACTATATCACTATTAGTTGTTAATTTTTTTCATTTTGTAGCTTTATCTATTTGGTTTATGTAGCTACATTTGTGACATTCCCTTTTCCATTTGCAATCATTACTCACACATGATTCTATATGTCTATTTTTATTATTTAGTGGCTATCTATCACGAATGCCACTATTATATAAAGATTGTATCATTAGAGCATCTCCAATGGAGAAGCCATTATTTGAAAAGCTAAAAGCAATTTTAGCTTCCGAAAAGTGTTTTAACAACCCACTTTTTCACCTCCTCTCCAACCTTGTCATCTATTGTTTACACTTTAATAATATTTTTTTACTTAAAATTAATTTTTTATACAAACACTTTATTCATATATCAATATTATATTTAAATTTATCTAAATAATGTGATTAAAATATTATATTATTTTTCATTTTTCATAATAATATATGGGGAGACAAAAGGCATTACATAGCACATTTTAGCTTTAGTCATCCTATATATATATATATATATATATATATATATTATATATATATATATATACACACACACACACTAGCAATTCTACACGCTTTGCGAGGGTTTTAGTGCCCGATCATGGTTTTAACCCAAAATGAGTTATGATTTTTGTTTATGATATGTGAATGAATGTGTACATTGTATTAATTAAATAGGTCATAAAAAAGGAATTTGAGAAGACAAGTACAAAAAAATAATTAAAAATGAAGTTCTGAAAAATGCATTGAATATATTTTAGGATATGATATATGGAGTAATTTTAGTACCGAAGTAATGTTTGTAGTGGCTTTGAAGCGGTAATTGAGCAATGACAATAATGTGTTAAAAGTAAAAGTTAGAAATGTTTCAAAGTCATCGTGTGGAAGGAAAATACGTGAATAACAGTAATTGTAATTTAAAACATTCTTCTTTTATGAAAACACGGTGAACAAACCTGTTCACAATGAATGTTGTATGTAAATGTAAACATGGTGAAGTCAGTAGTACATGTGTCTGCGATATGTAGTGCACGATTATTATTATTATTGCTAATAAAATGTGTTTTTTTGTGCTGGTGTATTTTTCTCTGTGTAGTACGGAGTATCATTTTTAAATAGAATGTAATATATGAATATATCATTTTTTTTACTAATTTAAGTAGTCAAATGGTTTGAATAATAGTATATATATTTATTCAATTAATTTTCAGATTCTAATACTTCCGTCCACATAAAGAAAAAACCGCACAAAGATTTAGAAAAGACTCATAAAACGAAAAGTAATGACAATAGCAGGTGAATATAAGTGGCCACCTGAGTGTTGTTAGTATCCATGAGTTATGCATAGTAAAAGAATTGAAGTATAACAACAATAACCGTTATAATGTCCATTGTAAAGGTGGATCGGATCTTCTCTTTAAAGTATTGAGATGAAAGTTGTCATTTTTTCATTAGTATTGGTATCTATATATGCATTGCTTGGGATTTTTTGTGGCAGATCATGATTTTACGTGACATTTTTATTAATGTTTATACATGAAA